TAGGATTTTAAAACAATCAAATATGTCCCTCTCTAGGTCCAATACCAATCAGACCAGTTCTTGGACAAAAACAAAGATTATGTTGTTCCCGAACATCAAGATCTGTTAAGTGCTTCCAAATGCTCGTTTGTAGCCGGACTATTTCCTCCACCACCTGAAGAGACAACAAAATCCTCTAATAAGTCTTCTAAGTTTTCATCAATAGGGTCTCGCTTTAAGGTTTATCTGATTTCTTTCCTTAAACTTTTCTTTATCGTAATTTTTTTTCTTATATACATATATAAAGGTCGAAGCTTGTTGAGATCCCAAGGTTGGATTTATTGGTGCAGGTGCAACTGCAACAGTTGATGGAAACCCTGAATTCTACAGAGCCTCACTACATCAGATGTGTGAAACCTAATAATCAGCTCAAACCTGCTATTTTTGAGAATGTCAACGTCATGCAGCAACTTCGTTGTGGTGTAAGTCCATATGAGTTTGCTGCTTTACGAGCTTTTTATGATATAAAAATAAAATGTCAAATGTGCAAAGTGAAATCGTATTTTTTTGTATTGACAGGGTGTTTTGGAGGCAATTAGAATCAGTTGTGCCGGTTATCCAACTCGCAAGACGTTTTACGAATTCCTCCACCGATTTGGTCTTCTGGCACCTGAGGTCTTGGAAGGAAAGTAAGTACAAGCTTTTTCTATTTATTGTTATGAATGTAATAAGTGCATATAGTAATTTCGATAACGTGACAAATTAATCTCTCTTTTAAAAATAAGCAGCAATGATGAAAAAGTTGCGTGCAAAAAGATTTTGGACAAGATGAGCCTTGCAGGAGCTCAGGTAATTTTTCTTTTCTTCTTAAAATTATTTATTTATTTATTTATTTATTTATTTATTTATTTATTATTATTATTATCGTTATTATTTTCTGTGTCTTGCTTCTGATGAAAGTTTGCCAAAGCACAACATCATTGTCTGATTTTTTTTGTACACAATTGCAGATAGGAAAATCGAAGGTTTTTCTGAGAGCTGGCCAGATGGCAGATTTGGATGCTCGTCGGGCACTAATACTTAGTAATGCGGCAAAGACCATACAAAGAAAGACCCGAACGCATATTGCTCGAAAACACTTCCTTGCCTTGCAGAAGGCTGCAGTTTGCATGCAATCCGCTTGTCGGGGTTCGTTTATATGAATATGACCCTCTTTTGGCTTTAATTGTTAAAAAAACTCATTTCACGATGTGGATGACATCATAATGTTTTTTTTTTTTCTTCTCCTTTTGTGTTTTCACCAGGAAGGCTTGCTTGCAAACGATATGATAATCTTAGACGGGAAGCAGCTTCAATTAAACTTCAGACGAAATGGAGAGGACACTTGACGAGGAAGAACTACACGAAGCTCAAGGACTCGGTTGTTGTGCTGCAAACGGGCTTGCGGGCCATGGCTGCCCATATGGATTTCAGATATAAGAAACGAAGTAAAGCAGCTACTTTAGTGCAGGTAGGTAATAACTGTGTTTGTTCGAATAAGGAATAATATAGTGTGTATATATATATATATATGTGTATATATCTTTTTTTTTTCTTTTATTTGGGTCATTTGAGTTGTACACATAACGGGAATCATATTTGTCAGGCCCGGTGGCGTGGTCATAGGGATCGGTCGTACTACAAGAGACTCATAAAGGCATCGATTGTAACACAATGCAGATGGAGGGGAAGGGTTGCTAGGAGAGAGCTTCGGAAACTAAAAATGGTAGGCCTTGATTTTTTTTTTCCTTTTCTTTTTTGCATGTGTGCCTGTGAATTACAAAATTAGCCTCCACGTTTATGTTAATCATTTCAAAATACGAATAGCCCTTGGGTTTGTATTTTGCTTTAAACATCTCCTTCGAAAATATAAAACATACGTTTAAGGGGATATAACTTTTTTGAAAGATAAATGCTAATTTTTTTGTTATTTCTTTTTCTTACGAAAGGCTAAGCCTGAAAGATGGTATTGTAATTTGCTGAAAGAACATCATTGTTTTCAATTACTTTACGTCAAAACTGCACAATTTTGAGAGATGTCAAATATTTGCAGGCCTCAAGAGAAACTGGTGCACTTAAAGAAGCAAAGGATAAGCTAGAGAAGCAGGTGGAAGACCTTTCACTACGTTTGCAGCTGGAAAAACGCCGCAGGGTAAATAAACACTTTCACAACTTAGATACCAAACATTCTTTTTTTTTTCACTTTATTAAAACTTTTAGCTTCTATTTGCAGACACTGTTTCATATCTTTCTGCCGTAATATATCAAACTACACTTATACTGAACCGAGAGTTTGTGTGAACAGAATGAACTGGAAGAGGCAAAGGAGGGAAAAGCGCAAGAAATAGCAAAATTGCAGCAGGCCTTAGAAGGTATGCAAAGCAAATTGGACGAAAGTAATGCACAGCTCGTTAAAGAACGTGAGGTTGCTCAGAAGGCAATTGAAGAAGCTGCAATTGTTAAAGAAACCCCAGTTCCTGTTGAGGATACTGCCAAGATCGAGGCTCTTACAGCCGAAATGGAAAAACTGAATGTAACTCCTGAGAATATTTTTATTTTACCATATTTTTTTCTAATTTCCTTTTGTGGTAAAGATCATTCGCACTCAAATTCATGTATGTTTGTAATTTTTGTTATTCACAGGATGTGTTGCAATCAGAAAGAGAACGAGCTGACGAGGCTGAGAGGAAATATGCAGAGGCCATGGAATCAAATGAGGGTAAGGGCCAGAAGTTGGACGAAACCGAAAAAAGAGTTCATCAGCTTCAAGAATCTTTAAGCAGGTAGATTTTTTCCTGTAAATTATTTTCCTTCATAATTCTGATATAGGGAAGCTTCAAAGATGAATGCAATCTTTATTTTTGAATCTTTAATTGGGAACCTGCAATATTATGTTTTTCGCATTTATCTTTGATCTCGCAAAGCTATTGATATCAACTGACACAGTTAACATATATTGTGTTCTTTTGATAGGCTTGAAGAAAAGCTGACTAACGTCGAATCAGAAAATAAAGTTCTTCGGCAGCAGGCTCTGGCCATGGCCCAGAACAATAAATTGCTATCCAGGAGTTCAAGATCAATAATGCAGGTGAACTTAAACGCCCAAAATAAATAAATAATTACTTAACTTCTATATATCATTGAGCACTTGTATAATAAAATTTTCCTGTAATTCTTTTCAGAGGGTCGAAAGCACAAAAACAAACGTCGTAAGTCAGAGTATTTCAAAAATACTACCTTCCATCTGTTTTTACACAGTCCATAATCCTAACATCTTTTCTAAATGTTTGTTTTTAAAAGGATTTTCACAGTCCTTCAATGAACATGAGAGAGCAATCAGAGGTTGATGATAGGCCTCAAAAATCTCTCAACGAGAAGCAACAAGAGTATCAAGATTTGCTCATCCGTTGTGTTGCTCAACACCTCGGCTTCTCAAAAGGCCGACCAGTTGCTGCCTGCATTATTTACAAATGTCTCAGGCAGTGGCACTCATTTGAGGTCGAGCGAACGAGCATTTTCGACCGGATAATACAAACTATCGGCAACGCTATAGAGGTGAACCGTGAAAGGGCAAAAATCTGTGATTCAATTAAAGTTTCCATTTTATATACTATATATATATATATATAATTTTATGTATATATATTTTTTTGCTGGACTCGTTTTTTAATGTTTTTAAAATTGTGTCTGCAAGACTCAGGACAATAATGATATCTTGGCATATTGGTTGTCAAATGCCTCGACTCTATTGCTTTTGTTGCAACTCACGCTGAAAGCTGGGGCAGCTGCCGGGACTGCCCCACAACATCGCCGTTCGCCATCGGCCACTTTGTTCGGGAGAATGACACAGGTTTAAAATATAAGAAATCGTAAAATTACATTGCCTAATTACAAGAATTTTAATTACCTTTGGAAAATGTAAAAAATCACATGTTAGGGTTGTATTTAATATTTTTTTAACAAGAATTACATTTCATAATTACTAGAATTTTAATGTTATCTGATAATACTTTCTATTTATTTAAGCTTTTTTTTTTTTTTATTGCAGAGTTTTCGTGGGAGCCCTCATGGTGTAAACCTTTCATTACTGAATGATGATTCAGCTGGTACTTTACGGCAAGTAGAGGCAAAATACCCTGCATTACTGTTTAAACAGCAGCTGACAGCTTATGTGGAGAAAATTTACGGAATGATTCGCGATAATCTAAAGAAAGAGATTTCTCCACTTCTTGGGCTATGCATTCAGGTATACTTTCGACATGTTTTAGTCAGAGAATCAATATATGAACTCTGCGTTTAACTTTTTATTTTATTTTATTATTTTTTTTAATGGGGTAACACATTGTTGATTATTAGTTTTATATGCAGTATTTGTGACTTCAAATGATGTGTAATTTGATTGTTGTAGGCTCCCAGAATATCCCGAGCGAACTTAGTTAAAGGATCAACTGCTCGTGCTCTAGCAAATGCAGCCGCACAGGAAATTTTAATTGCTCATTGGCAAGGAATCGTGAAGAGCCTCGGGAATTTTCTGAACACACTGAAAACGAATCACGTAATCACATTTTTTTATTTTCCCTTTACTAAAATTGCTTCTGATGCACTATTAACCTTTAATGTGTCTTTTATATTAGTATATTACCCATCTTTGGAATATTTTATGACTATTAATAAATCCATCTGCAGGTACCACCGTTTCTGGTTCGGAAAGTGTTTACCCAAATATTTTCATTCATCAACGTGCAGTTATTCAACAGGTACCGAATACTACTTTTTAGTTTTTGCAGACCAATTTTACATTCTGCTAAGCCTCACTAGCCGATATAATGGGATAATGATGTTCACTTGTTGCTTGCAGCCTTTTACTGAGGCGAGAATGTTGTTCGTTTAGCAACGGTGAATATGTCAAGGCTGGATTAGCAGAATTGGAGCACTGGTGTTACAAGGCAACAGATGAGGTACTTAATTTTACCCGAGTATAATAAAAGAAAAAAGAAAAAAGAAACTCTCGAATTTTGTTCTCTTTGTTTCTCTTGCTAAATTTGCAGCAAATGTTACAGTATGCAGGTACATCCTGGGATGAGCTCAAGCATATAAGACAGGCAATCGGGTTCTTGGTATTTTTCTTATTTTCTCTCTTCTTTGCACGAAATCCCGAATCACGAATTTGCATAAAGAAGAACAAGAAAAAAATCCATTAATGCTGATGTGTTTATAGCATATAAGCAGAAAAAAAAAGAGCATTTTTTTATTTGTTGTTTGTAAGGACTACGAATTTTATAAAAACATCTTTTGTACTGTAACAGGTCATACATCAGAAGCCAAAGAAGACATTAGATGAAATAAGTCATGATCTATGCCCTGTAAGTAATTTTGCTCTCCCGGTTATTATTATTATTATTATTATTATTATTATTATTATTATTATTATTATTATTATTATTATTATTATTATTATTATTATTATTATTTGTGATGAGATTTATTTGAAATCCAGTTACCTTTCAGCTGACAAGTTTCGATTTTTATTACAGGTCCTCAGTATCCAGCAGTTGTACAGAATCAGCACTATGTACTGGGACGACAAATATGGCACACATAGTTTATCACCAGATGTAAAATGCTCGTTTTATTTTCCAACATGGATATTTTTTAATCATTGAACGAAATTTCGGTAATTTTCTAGAGTATATATTTTTTACTGACTTCTTTTCACAGGTAATATCCAACATGAGAGTGTTGATGACAGAGGACTCGAATAACGCTGTTAGTAGTTCATTCCTGCTGGACGACGACTCAAGGTTGCGTAATAATATATATTTTAAGTGTTAGTTTATTCCTTTTTTTCTTTCTCGTTTATTATTTTATTTCATTAATTGGTCATAATCTCAATCTGTTGTTTATGTTTTGCAGCATACCGTTTTCAGTTGACGACCTTTCCAAATCAATGGACCGATTTGACATTTCGGATATTGAACCACCGCCACTTATTCGCGAGAATTCGGGTTTCAGCTTCTTACTGCCACAAGCCAACTGATCATAGTTAAGCATACGTTTTTCGTCTATAATTTTGTTAAATAGGCTTTCTCTAGCATTTATAAGGAGATTACAAACCAAACCCAGCTAATTTTGGAAAATTACGAAAACACTCCAGAGGTTTCGTTCTTTGTCGAATTCAAGGGGCCTACTGTTGTATATTCACAAATACGACGTATAATCCCGAGCAGGGCTACTTTTGGAAAATTACAAAAACAATTAGGTTTCATTCTGTAATCAGGTGAAAGTTCAGGGGTACATTTTGTGATTAACCCTTTCTTTCTGTTTGGTCCATAGATTTTCTTCAAAGATAAATGATTGTGTGAAATAAAATAATATTAAACAAAAATATAAATAAAATAAGAATAAAGGAAAATTTCACAATGTTTTCAGATGGAACTGTGGGGGCACCGAAAATTTACTGCATGTAAATTTGCCTAAAATAATTCAGTCCTGCCCTATGCATTATTATCAGAGCTGGAAACGAACCGAACGTTCGCGAACAAAAGCTCGTTCGAGCTCGTTATTCGTATTCTACAAAAGCTCGTTCGTTCGTTAATCGAGTCGAGTTCAAACATAAAATTAGACTGGTTTAAAACATCTATAGTACAACACCATGCGATTGTTTACTGTTCATTATCACCTTTTTGGTGATATAAATTCATCACCATATCGTGAAGGGGGCTTTTGATTTCTCAAAAAAAGCTTTAGTTTCCCTTTAAATGTTAAACTCAAAGGGGGCCATATGCAGAGCCTCTGAAATTGTTGGGATATTAATAAAGACCATATTTATTCACATCGGGGAACAGTACACAGATCCTCAACACTTAATGTACCAAATTTTTGGTAGCCAGCCACGGTATCTGGAGCTATGCTCCGACTAATCCGTTGGTCGACCCGGGTCGCACACCTGACAGTGGTGTGTGAGTCTCCCAATAAGGATTTTCTGCATCCACAAGGACTCGAACTTGAGACATTGGTTAAGCGACATCAAGCTGCTTACCACTTAATATCTGATCATATTTGATCACAAATAATATATAATAATATATCACTTAATTATTTTAATTTAAAAGAATTATTCAGTTACAAATTAAGAATGGATTTTTTTTTTTTTTCGATTTGCTTGGATTTTTTTGTTGGGAGTGAAGAAAAATGTGTTAAGTAATCATTGGTAAAAGGGGTCTAAAACAATAGGGTTTGTTGTCAGTGAGAATGTATGTTTGGTACGTGTTATATATTCGAGAGTGGGCAGTGGAATTAATAAATTATGTATGTTCACATTCATGCTACAATGTGGGGGAATTACATTATTTGGTCAGTCTGGACTTTTATTGCAAAGGAATGGTAAAAAACAATGATATTTTGAAATTTTGAATTGCTTATATATTATTTTATTTGTTACTATAGTAATAATTCATACATATATATATATATATATATACAAGTAGCATGGTATGTCAACTCATGTCCATTTTTACAATGCTTGTAAATAAAATCTAACTTCAATTTGGAGCTGACTTGATCATCGTCAGAGTTTTAACGTCGGAACATTCCATGTGTGTCTCATCGAGAATTAGACCGAAGTAAGTATATGTCTTAATAAGACTTTGTTTCGAGAATTAGACCGAAGTTTTAATATTGGTTAATTTCCAAAAATCATCTACGTTTTACTTAGGCATGGCCAAACCTGGTTTTGTGCAGCTTTGGTATATATACAAGTCGGTTCATTGAGCCGGCCAAGAACACGAAAAAAAAACAAAATATAAAAGAAATGAAAAATAAAATAAGAATTCAATTTTTAAATTCATTAAACAGTAGGTTCTGGTTCCTGTTCTGGAACTGACAATTTAGTTTGTGAAAAAACATGAACTTGAACCTACCCGATTATGTCCATAGGTCGGTTCAGTGCCTGTTATTATCAACGCCAATTCTGGGCCGGTTCAAACTGTGGTCATGTCTAATTTTATTTGATTAGGTCACAACCAGTCACTCGGTAGGAGGAGGACGAACTAAAAGTCCTAAGACTAAAATTTAACAACTCTAAATGTACGATGTCACTTGCGTAATGAGATCTCTTCTCTTATTACAATTTAGTGTTCCATTTCGTATTTCATTCCATTAAATGAACGGTACGTATACATGATATTGTCATATTCATATATGTGTCATTCATCTTACAAAACAAAACAAAGTACAAGAGATAATTGAAACCTAAAAGTAAAACAAAAAAAAAAAAAAATTCTAAATAATCTACATTAATCACACAAATCGAAAATCCCAAGTCACACACACAACATTCTTTACAACAAAAAGTCAATTAATCCATCAAAATCCTTTCATGCTACACACACTTTTAATTATTATTGGCTGACAAATTATAAGTTCGTGCAATAACTCTAGCTAACACACAGTTTTGCCCCAAAAGCTGCTTACATACAAAGACTGTAATAATTCCAAAAGACAGTACGTACTTAAACTCCACTTACATCCCCACCCATATATATGATAATATTCCCTTACATACGGTGGGCACATGTTAACATGTCAACCGCTTATGTGGCATGCAAACATTGGTGATGTTAATATGTTCAAAAAAATACATCACCAATATGTGCATGCCACATAAACGGTGGGCATATTAAAATGTGTCCACCGTTGGTAGGTGAACATTACTGCCCATATAAATCTGGCAAAAAACTAACCACACTCTAACCCTAAGAACCCTCTTTCCTACTCTCTCTTTTAACCAATCCCCCATATTTAGCAACAGACAATTTGCAATATTGTAAAACTACGTACTCCCCCAACAAAAATAAAAAATAAAAATAAAAATAAAAATAAAAAAAAAATTACTACTTCTTCTTTATATGTCCTTTACTCTTTTCCTTTTTATCAAACTTTTGAGAAGGGCCCCTATTCACAATCTCCCTCTCTTTCTATTTTTCTCCCCCCTTTTTTTTCATGGTTTTCGATTATTAGTCGATGGAGAAGCTAAAGTGGGCTTTCGACCAGACGAGCTTCGACCGGGACCGGGCGTACGGTTTCGCGTGGCCTCAGAGGAACTATCGGTGCAGCTTTTGCAAGAAGGAGTTCAAATCCGCGCAGGCGCTCGGTGGCCACATGAACGTCCACAGACGAGACCGGGCCCGCATGAGGCTTTCGTCGCCTTCTTCGGGTTCGTGGGATTTTACGTATCCGCCGAACCCTAATTACTCTAACCCTAACCTTAATCCAAAGCCAAACCCTATCCCAAACCCTAACTCTAACCCTAGGACTGTGCTTTTTTCGGGTTCGTTGCTCGGGAAAAATGTTTCGAGTAATTTCGAGCGTGGGGATTTTAGGGGGAAGAAGAGCAAAGGGGATCGGTTCGGGTCGGGTGATGCTAGGGTTTGGAAGGCGAACGAGTTTGTCGAGCTGGATTTGAGCCTGGGTGTGATTGATGATCATGATGATGATGAGAATAAGGAGGATTTGGATTTGGAGCTTAGACTTGGGTGTTCTTCTTGATTGGTTTGTCTGATTGATTATCATTTGTGTAGGAAAATGTGGATTATTAATTAATGT